ACCTGGGGGTGCGGGGACCTTCCCCCCCAAGCCAGCGCAGCTTCCCAGGAGACTCATTTGTTCTTCCCATAGACGTCACCATCTAAAAGTTTCTCCATTTAAAATCTTTTCCCTCCTGCCCACAGCGATACCCCACCATCCCTCCCTCCTCCCCGCAGCACCTTCACCGCCGAGGGTAAATTTGTTCCATATTTAGCTCATGCACTCTGTCCTGCTCCTTGCTTTTTTCGTTCTCTTTTAAAAAAGAAAAAAAAAATCCAGCTTGTTAATGGGTTTCTGGCAATGGGAGCTGGAGAGAAAGCCTCAGGTGGAGCCATGTGAGATCTGGGGGGCGAGCAGGGGACGTCAGTGCCGCCTCGCACCATGACCCGGCGGCTCCATTCATGCCGCAGCACCGCTGCCGCATCCCATTTGCTCCCTCCAAGACACCCCTGCTTAACGGTGACACCCAAGGCAGAAACGTCACAGAAATCGAATCAGGGAGCAAACACGGGGTGATAGAACTGAATATGGAAAAGCAAGATATTTTCTTGCAGAAAGGAAAGGGCTCGAGCAAAGCGGATGACTCCTGCTCTGCATGCAGCTCTTGGGGATGGGCTCGTGGGTGTGCTGGGGCCTGGGGTTGCCCCGCTCTGCCCACCACATTGCAAAGAAAAAGGAAAATTCAGGTTTCCTTGGCAACGTTAGGGTGGCTGGAAGCATCACCACGTGCCTGCCAGCAACCGGCCCCAGCAGCAGCCCCACTGCCTCCCCGGGAGCAAGCAGCAGTAGAGGAGGGTGCGCCGGCGGGGATGTTCCTCGGGGTGACGGAGGGACAGGACATCGTGGTCCCTGCAGCGAGCAGGATCCCAGCCAGGTGCCTGCCATCAGCTGAGCTGTTTTTCATGGAAGAGAAATCCGTGTTTCCCAACAGCCGGAGGAAAGCAAGGCAGGGCATCGCCACAACCGGGCAGAGGAAACATTTGCAACTCCTTCCCTATCCCGCACACAAGCGTGCCCACTGCCATGTATGGACACCCACTGGGAAGTGACTCAGGCTCCGGTTAAGCCACCGAGGGTCCCAGGCAGGCACAGACCCCCGCGACCCCCCTGTGAGCACCGTGACTCCAGGGCGAGCCCCGGGGCATGAAGACGGTTGCAGAACACGGCCTTGGTCCTGTCCTCCATCTCGCCTAGAGCGGCGTGAGCGTTAGGGGCTCCTGCAGCATCTCCACGCCAGAAGACCCCCCTGATCTCACGCACCAGGGACGTCCCTGCCTGCACACCACCATGGCTTGGCTCGGCTCAGGTCCCTCCAGGACCTCCCCGGGGAGCCGGCAGCGGCCCCACGAACTCTGTCCTACCAGGCTCTCCTCCTCCCTTCTAAATTAGCGCAAAGAGAAAGGCGGTTCAACTCACACCTCGCTAATTGTTATTTGTGATACACCAGTAACATTTTAATTAATGTGAAGTCTTCAGCATAACAGCCACCCAAGGTACAAAGATAAACCAGAATAAACAGGGCTTGATTAAATACATAATTAATGTTCCACTAAACCCGGCATATATGAATATTAATTAGCAGGAATAGTCTGAAGTTTGGCATCTCCTGTCATTATCAATTTATTCTTTACATTGCCAGTCCCAGCTTTGGAACAAATTAACAAACCTTTTGCTTGCTGGCAGAGCCCACTAAATACAAACTGAATGCGAGAGGCTGGTCTTTACATTCAATTATCTCACCCGCACATTAACTGGCTTCTAGCACATTTGCCTGAAACCAAAGATAGATGCATTGCCAAGACTGAAACATGTTCATCCCTAAATGGGGCTCAAAGTAAATAAAACTGTTTTCTGCTGGCAATAATAAGAGGGAGCCCATTCCCCAGGAGCGGCAGGGCAGAACAGGGCCAGACACGGTCCTTGCGAGGGTTTTAACCACCGGACGGAGGGACTTGGTAGAGTTTGGGCTCAGCTGTAAAACATCGCAGGTCTCAGAGGTCCAAGACCACCTCCAGCCCGTCGGAGGCACTTGGCCAGACCAGAGGTCCAGCAAGGTGAGCGTGGACAGGAGCAGTCCCCTCCCGGCTGCATCCTCCCTGCTGCAGCGGCCCCCCCAAGGGATGTGAAGTTTTATGAAGCGTTATGAAGACAAGGGTAGGAGAGAAAACCCTTGGGAACCACCCGGACACCCTCCGGTGACAGGGTCCCTGCAAGTGCATTGGGCTCACGGGGAAGCAGAGCAAGCACCAGACGCGGTAACGGAGCCGCGTGCTGCTGCCGAAGTGAGCACCGAGTGATTTTTGCAAACCCAGGGGCCGGGAGAGCCGGCAGCCCGCGTCTGGCGGCTGTGCCGAGGCGCCGAACATCCCCAACTTCTCGGCGCAGCACCTCCCGCCTCCTCCCCCAGCACAGGCGCTGCCGCCCCACACGCTAACCGAGGTGTCATTACGCCGCAGGAGTCTGCGCTAATTATAGTGTCAGCCTTTCCGCTCGCAGGGATGATAATTGAGGTAGAGCATTACACTGTTTCCAAACCCTGCGCCGCAGGCAGGGGCCGCAGCAGATCGGAGAAGTGCCACCAGCGCTGCCGAGACTTTGCTGGGAAAGCAAAAGGACTTCGGGAAAAGCCAAGCCGAGCCCCGTCCTGATGCTCACCAAGAGGCTGGACCAGCATCTGCTTCATGCAAGAAAGACCAGAGACCCTGGTAATGAGCAGGGCAGGTCACAAGCTCCCTTTTTAATCACAATCTGAATTATTTATTAGGGCAAAATTGGTGCTGGCATGCTGTGACCTGCAGGCAGGGCTCTGGGGAGCACAACGGCAGACGTGGGCTCAAGTCCAGCTTCTGCGACTTGAAACCTCTGGATGACTTTGGGCAAATCCCCGTTGAAAGGAGGACATTGGTACAGGGCTTTGCCATCGGTGAGCGGCCCGACCGAGCACAAACAGCCACTGTCACCCACCCAGCCCCACAACAGTGCTGTGGGGCTGCTGGAAAGGTACCACCAGCTGGAAAAGAGCAGGAGGGGGACTTTGGGGACTGGGCTTGGCAGGGACAGACACCCCCACCACGACCCAGAGACCCCTGCTGAGCTGAGCTGAGCCTCCGGGCAGGGGCCAAGCAGCAGAACCATCCGCAGGCCACCGCTCGCACACACCTCTCTGGAGATTAAGCGTTAATATTGTGACCTTTAAGATGCAAGACAGAATTTCTGAGCCTCTAACTGTCCAAGGGTGGCTTTGTGCTCTTGCAGAAGCAATGAAAGGTTAGACCAGCGTCTCTGCAGCAGCCACGGCCACATTGCCATTAACCTATTGCTACGGGTGACGCTTTGTTCACTCCTCTACAAAACTCTCTTTTTTTGCCAGTGACAGAGACAGGAATCCCCAGCTGACACGGCCCGAGGCTGAGAGATCTACACACCGCCCAGCTCTTAACCCGGGCTCCCTGAAACTCATTTGAAGGATGAAATCCAATTACAGTTTGCTCGGTGCAAGCACTTCCCCTTTTTTTGCGTGTGTGGCTAATCTAAAGCTCCCTGCTTGCCTCGTCTGCCAGGCATCTGCCTCCCCCAGCAATACATAGAACTGAACTAAGGCATTTGAGCTAGCTACCTATAATTAAAAAAAAAAAAAGGGGGATGAAAAGAGGAAAATCCATGGGAGCAGGAGCACCCAAGGGCGCTGGGAACCGATGACCGGCTGGAAGGAAGCTATTACTGCCCAGAGACAAGCAAGTAGCAGCAAGGCTGGAAGGGACGGCAGCTCACGAGAGCTCAAGGAGAAGAACGGCCACGCACAGCCCAGCTCCAACGCCGAGACAGCCCACTGTGTGTTTGCTTTGGGTTTTTTTTTTCCTGCCGTTCAATCCTGGGGTGCCCTCGCAGGGGGAAAAATAGAGGATCTGTGATTACAGACCCATAACGGAGCCTTCTCACCCGGGAAGCCCATCCTGTGATGGAATTTAAGACAGATGCCCTGGCATTGGATAAAAGTCGCTCTCAAAAGCGAAAAGCACACGTGCCGACACAAGGCAGCTCCCCCCTCCCCGGCTCCGACGGTTACAGCAAGCCCCGTGCTGCAGCAGCTCTCACGGCTGACAATAGCCGCCTCCTTGCCAACAAGCCACGCGTTCACGCCAGCTCGGAAACCACGGCTCTTCCAAAGGCACTCATCATTTTTCCCCCAAGTTTACAGATCCAAGTTATGCAGAAAAGCCTTTTCCTGTTCCCCCTGCACCCCCCCATCCAGGCTACAACCTGAGACAGGCAGAGACTGAGCTGGGAAGGGAAGGAGAAGAGGAGGAGGGAGGGGAGAGGAGGAAAGCAAACATTTGAAAAGGTTGCCTTCTATTACTTTCAACATCACCAAGAGTTACAAAGCAGCTGAGTGTCCTCAGCTGTTACAAATTTATCTAATTTTTTTTTTTTATCACATCTTTTTTTGTAGTCTCAAAGCTCAGCCCCTGGAAGGACACAGCCCTCTGAGACTCAGGGCTCTCCAGTTTTCCATCTATTAGCAAACTCCATCCCTTGAATAAGAAAACCCCACCTGTACAAGCTCCCACAAAGAAGCGGTGCTTTAAAATGCACTTCTTGCTGGTACACAGACCAGAAGAGAAACGAAGAGAGACCAAAATTTGTTGTCTACAGTGTCATCTTTCTCAATATACTCTCAGATTTACAATTTTTGCCCACAACAGGCTGGCAGTAGCGAGCGGGGCTGCAGATGTTCAAGATGCAGCAGCAAGCCCGAGCCCGCAGGCCCCCCCCGAGCCCACTCCTCATAGGGGGTTTTGCTGCCAAGACCTTACATGGTTCAGCCCTACCAAGAGAGCAAGATTTGACGTGATAGACCTTCTCAAAAGGCACCCACTCGGTGAGTGTCACCTGCAAGCAGCAAGAAAAAAAGGGAGGGAAGGCGACAGCCCTGTACGATCCTCCCAGGATGGCACCAACCCTGGGAAGAGGCTGCCCGCGAGCAGGGACAGATGGACAGACAGACAGACAGGACTTACCTGGGATGTTGTGGATGGTTATAGCAAGGATCATCAGCATAATCCGCCTCCAGCTGCTGCTGCCGGCTGTCGGGGCACCGTCCCGGGCCGCGGGGAACACCGGGGGGCCATCTGGCAGGCTGGCCCCCGCGCCCTTCCTCCTCTGATAGGGCTCCCCGTTCTCACCTTTGTCTGGGGGTACAGAAAACAGCCGGGTCAGCCGAGAGGGTGACAGACGGACAGCTGGGCATCTACTGCCTCCTCTCCCAGAAGGAAAAAGCAGAGAGAAGAAAATACACTGACCAAAGCAGGGCTGAAGGTGTGTGCATTGCCCCCCTTCCCCTTCATTTCAGGTTAGGGTAGGGGGATTCCCCCCACGCAGACCACAGAGCCCATGGGCCAGGGAGACCCTGAGGCAAAGCAGAAGTTCATCCTCTGCCTCCTCCTCCTCTGGGGACCCGCTCCCGGCCCCACACAGCTCCCCAGCATCACCCCTGGGCTCACGCCCGCCTGCAGACCCCAAGTTTGGATCTGGCGGGGACGAGCGCTGGGGCCGGTGGCTGACGGAGATGACGAGCACAGAGCTGCCGAGCAGCAGCCGCAGCGACCCGCGGTGAGACCAGGCTGTTCCCCCCCGCCAACCCCAAACCTGGCAGGTCTGCGTTTCCACTGCCTTTGCTGACGAAGGACAACCCTGTAACACTTCATTTTGCTTTCACCCCTGTCATGAAACGAGTGCACTGAGCTGTATTTAGTGACTATTTGTTCCTCTACCAAAAGATTTCCCGCTGCCGTTTGCTAAGACGTCACCGGATAACCCTGGGCTCCCCCAGACCTCTGCTCCCAGCAGGACCATTACTATCAGCTCTATTTCAACCGGTTATTTCAAACCACGCCACTAAAACCCAAGCCCCAATTAGGGCTGTGAAGGGCGGAACGAGCACCAGGCAGCACCGTAATAAAGCCTACGCACACCGAACCCCTCGCTGTTCACTTTCAGCGTGAAAAGGCGAAGGGAAGCCAAGAAACAAGGAGCACAAATTCCTTAACTTCACGCAGCCACAGCTACGGCTTCATATTAAAGAAGATTTGACATTTAAACAATATAATTCTCTCACCCTGGATTTATATCATTCTCTCTCCTCTCCCTTGACCCACCCACCCCAAGAGTTTTTTTGCAGTGTAAGGAGCCGTCTGAAACAGTTTTGACCGAACGCCAGTTGCTTCCCCTGCTGTTCGGAGGCAGGACGATGCCTGACCGCCGCGCTGCACGCCGCGCAGCGTGCGCTTTCAGCGCCGGTTCAGAACCTCGGCGTAAGAGGGCTCATGCAAATTGACACAAGGGGTCACCTTGGGAAAGCAGGGGTGTCAGCAACACTTCGCATCTTGCCATCTGTAACACAAAAACGGACACATAAAGGCATCCTGAAATGGTCCTCAACAACACAGAAAATAAAACCAAGAATTTAATGTATTTTGGTACCAAAAAAGCAGGGCAAAAACTAAAACCCCACTTGTCTGCAGTGGGACCAGACGACTCTCCGGCAGATTCCCTCCTGCCACCTCTCGTGCTACAGGAGCGTCCCTGCAGGGCATCGCCAGGGCTGCAAACCACAACGCCCACGACTCTCACGCTTTCCCCCAAAAGGCCATCGCCGCTGCCGCTCTGCAAACAGAGCAAGATGCCGCACAGATAAACACAGTCACTGTCATTAGCCATACGGAGCCAGACACTTTCTGTCCCCAAATCCTAGCCCAGTCAATAATGCGCAGTAACATTTGATGGCAGAGCTTCATTCCAGCCTGCAGGGACAAAAATAAATATTTTTTTTTAAGCAATAGCAAGGACAACCAGATCCAGCAGAGCAGCTTGTCCAATTCACCGCAGGAACGCTGGCGCAGCAGACCCCTGGCAAAGGGGCAGCCAAGGCTAAAGCCACTTACAGATGAAATTCCCTTCTTCTGCCAGACCAATGGATTACTTTAATTGCTTGGCACATGTCCCCCTAGCCCCACAAACAGTGTTATCCTCAGCTGACCCTGCCCCGGCCACCGACGCTGACCCGTGGACCTACACCCAGGACGCTGCCGGCAGCCCCATCACCGCAGCACAACGGGCATGGGTTTGCACCCCGGCACCGGCCCCGTGCTGCCCTTGGGCTCCCGGCATCGCTCACGCTGCAGGACCACCTACACAAAACCCAGGATGATGCAAGGATGCAGAGAGGTGCAGGAATCCCAGTCAAGGGCTTTCCAGGGAGGAGGAAAAACGGTTTACACGACATTTAGAGAAGAGCACTTACATTCAAGTGACAAAACACCAGCGTTTCTCCCTATATAGAAAGCAACAAGTGTTCAATAAAAGCACAAGCGACCGCAACGCCGCGACAGCCAGGGCAGCCTAGGCTCTTGAGGCAGTTTTTGCGAGGTACAAATGCAGGATGAATGCTGAAAGCAGAGGTTTCAGTGGCTGCTGGGGAAGCTTTGCGTTTTGCAGACTTCTGGTATCTGCTGGGGGAATGCAGGGAAAATGCAGAATGTAATATCAGTGACTTGGTTTTTCTTCAATCAGGCCAAAAAAGCTGCCTGCTGACAGTGCGGTAGCACCTCCGCTGCGCTCTCATCTCTCACAGCACCAGCTAAGAACGGCGTAACCGACACCAGGCGAGCTACTCCATCACTGGCAATTTTCTTCTACTTTTTTTTTCCTTTTTCTTTTCACTCATCTCATGATGTGACCTGGTCCAGTCCATCCTTAGCGTTTCTGACTTTAAGACTGTGCTTAAAAACAAACGAACGCAGCTGTTTGACTCAAAAGAAGCACGCGCCATCCAAACAAGCACAAGCCTGCGTCCAACACATCTTTTGCAATCTTAGCTCTTCTCTTACCCCTTTCTCATCTACCCCAGCTCTGCACTGGGACCAGGCTCAGCCTGGAGCATCGATCCAGCCTCTCCTTCCAGCCGCAGCAGTGCACGTAACAACACGCCAAGTCAAGGAGCCAGCCATCGCCCCACGTTGCTGCTCCGGCCAAGTCCTTGACCGCATCACCCTCATCTTCTCTGGGATAAGCTAAACAAAATGAGTAAATCCAGGGATTTACTTTATCAGGGACAATCTGATCATTACAGCATGGCCGATGCCCATGTGCTCCCGGGTAGGGGACGGGCCCAGGAGGCAGGACTACCTCACCCAGAGCCACGGAGCAAATCCACAGCAGAGCCACGGGTGAAAACCCCAGGTGTCTCAGTTCCTGCCCCCGTGGTTTAGGCAGAACAAGCCAAAAATTCAAAACCTCCCAGCTGCCTTTCCCTTGGCACTTAACAGAACCGATAAACCAAATGTCATCAGAGCCTCCAAAAACTTAACTTTCAAGCTCTGAACAGAACCACTCTGCCTTGGCATCTGCTCTGCTTGCAAAGACGTTGGTTTGTCCCCCTGCTATTACGCTCCCGTCTCCCTTTCGGCTATTTCTCACGCACCGTTACCTGGGGAATTGCAGCTTTCCCCAGACTGATGGCGGGGGGGGACTGCCCGCGGTGGCACGATGCCCAGGATCGCTCACTGTCCCCTTGGGACACACACGGAGCACCCAGGGAGGGAAGAGCCGCCTCCTGCTCCAGTTTGGCCCAGCTGCCCGAACCGATCCCGGCAAGCACAAAGATGCACTCACGCATGGAAGCTCCCACTGCTCAGAGCTGCTGGTTTATAAGGCTTTTTGTTGCCTTATTCCAGCCATACCTTCTCCTTATTTCCCTTGTCCCTGGATTTGATGGGGTCACCGCAAAACAGCACTGTCCCCCAAGACTCCTGCAGCAAGGCAAAGCAAAGCTTTTGCCGGCATTTAAACACCAAAGCAAAGCCCTGCCAGCTCTCTCTTCCAGGCTTTGATCTCAGCTCCCCCGAGCTTCATTTGTGGGTGAATTTTCATTGAGAAAAAGTGTGCTTTGCTGAACGCCTGGCCACGAGCACAGGGGAAAGCCCTGGAGAGGACCTATGAATGCCGCAGAGGGACCTCTGCGCCTCTGAGCTGCCCGTACCTGCGGAAACCAGATGCCCGAGAGCATCAGACACCGATACCTACGTTCCCCTCGCAGGCATTCAGCTGCCCCAGCTCCACGAAGGAGCAGAGCAAGGGATGCAATGGCCGACGTTCATCTCCTCGTGTGGCGTAGCTGGGGAGATTTCAGCTCTCCCCATTCTGTTGAGAATTACCATGGCGTTTTGGCAGCGCTCTCTCCCCGTTATCAAATTACCAGAAAAGATCCATTTCACATCTCTCACTAATGAAAGCAAATGCCCAGACCAGCTCTGTTGCTTAACATGAGCCTGCCACCTGCTAAGGTATCCATTCAGCCCCAGCACACAGGTATCACTCCTGTTATACACTTTTTTTTAATTATTTTATTTACAAGTAGTCTGCTTGTTACTATTGAAAAAAATTCTGATGAAAATTAGACTTTTTACGAGCACCTCCAAGGACGGCGGTGGGAAAGGACAGGGGGATGCCACGGTGCCCGCAGGGGCGAGGAGCTCCACTCCCACCAGCAGCAAATGGGGGAGATCTGTGGGAAATAAACAGAATAGATGCAGCTTTTCCAGGGGAAGCGCAGAGGGTGGTTTAGATGGACAATTTGAACACAAAATTGCCTCTCATACAAATTATTGGTGCATTAGCAGAGCATAAAGGCAGCAACACCAAAACCAGGGAGGCGACCCCAGCATAATTTTCCCAGTAGTGTCACATATAACAGTGAGACTACAAACCGCACATGGGTCAAGAGATGCGTTTTGCTTCCAATTGCTGTGGGGAAAGGAAAAAAAAAAAAAAAAAAAAAAAAAAAAAAAAAAAAAAAAAAAAAATAATTACAGGGGACTGATGATACCAGCTCGCAGTGTTGGACACAGCATGGGAGGGGACTTGTGCGGCTGTCATACAAAATGCAGCACCCAAAGTGCTCCCAGCTTGAAACGCTGCAGGCTAAGGGGAACAAAACAATAATTACGGCTAAACACGGACTTGGCTGGAAATCAGGAAAGCCTCAATAGCAAATTGGAGTAGTGATAAGAGCAGAACCAAGGGGTGGTTTTTAAAGAATAGCTGACACAATCAGACAAGGGTACGCGCAAGAACGTTGCCAAGACAATTATGTGGCAAATAATTATCTGTGCCACATACATTATTTTAAATC